TACGCAATCCGTATGAAAATGCAGGAACAATGAAATCTGAGACAATGGACTGATATTTGCAAAGGGAACAGTGAAGATTGAGACGATGGATTGATATTTTGCAAATTATATATTTACTATATGGTTCTCAGATTTTATTGAGGTGCTCTCTAATGTCGTGTCTAATATGTTTGATTGTCCCCACTTGTGTTCTTGTTCACTACAGTTTCAGTGAACGACTTAACTGAATGTCTTAACAGGAATGGAATTCCGGATATTAAGCTTTAGACTTATCTTTCAATAACGTTTACAATATTGTTATAACTTGTGGGTTTGCACCCTAATGATATATGACGTCATGATACCGCCAATTAGAGAACAGTAACTTATCGACCGGACCAATGACGTATAAACCCGTACGAGAAGTCTCTAGTGTTCATCGGTTCTGCTCCCTATCTGCCGAGTCCAGAATACAAATCTCAGACTCTGCGATATGAATCATGTATTTCAAACATACTGGGATTATATATAAATCAAACAGACCACATTACACCGTAAAATAGAAAGTAACATTTGTACAAGATCTAGCCCAAAGTGACTGTGAATGTGGGAGACTGTACTTAAGAGACCGGGTATAACTTGAGAATGGTAAATCATATAATAATAGTCTATAAGTTGAAATAAAGCTTATAATAAGAGGAACACAAATATGAAGAGTTTAGTTATTTTACAATTATACGATAAAAATGTACGTATAGTATTGTTTCATAAATGGATCCCAAAAGTTACCATTCATTATGCTTATCAGGACATGACAGGTAGGTAAGTTTATCAGTTGATCAATAGGTTTCAATCAGAACTTCATACTCAAATAGCATGATACTGATTGCCTCTCTATGATTAAACCGTTTAATCCTAATACTTTAATTTTCTCTCTCTGAGATGAATTGTAAATTTATTTCAAACTTATCCTACAGCCCTTTTTTTCAATTTAAGTTATAGACTTCTGTACTATAGAGCAGAACACAGGCTCTCTAAAAGAGTGATTATACTCTTTGATGAAATTCAAAACACGATTTTTGGTTTATCGTTCATCGGTTACTTTATTAAACGGTTGCTAATCGTAAGAATCAAAATTAGTTATGTTTATGAGAATATTGAATCCAGTTCGGTTACATCATAATTGTATTTTAAACGGTAGTGTTTCTGGTTTATATATTTACATTATAATCTGTTACTATTCTTTATTTGATTTTCCAGTAATCAATTGCGAATGATTTGTTTCGTCTCTTGCCTGATAAACGGAATACACCCATTAAGACATTAAATAAGAAAGATTAGTTCAGCGAAGAGTTCTCTTTTCGGCGAATTCATTTTGTACAGCTTTGAAAATGAATTCGCCGAAAAGAGAACTCTTCGCTGAACTAATCTTTCTTATTTATTGCCTGATAATTAATTTGTTTTAGTCCATAGAAAAAAAATGTATAGCTCCAGGACACTTGATAGAGTTAACCTTCGCATAGATTATGAACATATACTTTTAAAAACTGTTTACTATCACCATCCACCTCTGTTTATAATGCTTATGACTTCAGGCAATATTGAAGGAATCCATACAACATGCACATATGCTAATAAGAGACTGATCAATTGCAGTCGTGAACATAAATGAGAAGATTCAAATAATCAATAAAAAATGATTTATACTAATTATGTTAGAATAAAATCCAATCTGTTGACATCAGAACGTGGAAAATAGGTGGTTTTTGTTAAGATAAATTATCAATTACCTCAATCAATATTGATTCTTACAAAAGTCAATTTATGTTTGTCTTGAACATGTATTTAGCAATGCTTATTGGCAATGTCTACTCTTTCGATGAAGTATACCAATAAACTATTCATCATTTACATCCAGTGATGTAATTCAGTATACAGAAACTCCTGGTTACAGCATCTATAACTCCTTGTCATTAGTGAGACAAACATATTCCAAATAATCTTTCTATATGAATTAATTTACTACTAAGTTATCTAGACTTTGGAATAGTTTACCACGATCTGTCTGTGAGATGAAATCACTCCCATCCTTTGTTCGCTGTATGGATTCTTACTTTTCCTTTGAAAATGCATTAAATATTCTAGCACCTGTAAGAGTATCTTATTCTACAAATGAGGTCATAGGAACTTTAGATGTTTAGTTATTTTTATTACTGAATCCAATTGATAAACCTACCCACCAACTGTTACTTTACATTTAAACCGTCCCTGGAAACCTTAACTAATTTGAATAATGAAGTTGATTTATTCTCGGACTTTTTTTAGAAAAGTGTATAAAACAGAGTATATACATTCTTGGCACAGAAACGATCAAATTTTGATAACCGGAATATGAACACAGTGACTACTAGAGATTTAAACTCCTTAGACTATTAAATAAACTTGACATACTAAAACCAGAGGTATTTGATGGAGTACATCATAAATAACCTTAAACGTCACATCTTTAGATATAACATATAACTTGTTTGCAACACAGAGCATGTTCTCAGGAGACTGGAAGTACATTATTGGAAGTCCTATCCTAAAGACGGTTACGTGTCGTAACCCCTTTAAGTTCAGTTAGTGTAATTATCGAGATTTTAGATGAAAACAACATAGTTCTGAAACGATTCATTCGTTCCCTAGTAAATTAGTACTGACAAAAGAAATCCGGGGTTCTTTGAAAGATCAGAAGAAATCAGTGGGTGTATACTATATTGACTTCATCAGTAAATCTAGCTCTCAGTTAAGTGAAGAGAAGTTGGGATCAGTGGAAATTTAGCTTTTTGGGATGAAGAATTCATACTTCGACGCAAAAATGTGTACATGTTACCTTCAGTCATTTTTTCAGGAAGAGATTTGGTTTCAGCTACTTCTGTAGACCCATTCAGAAGGTGGAATGATCTAAAAGACCCTCTATCCAAAACTAAAACATTCAATAAGTATTTTCTTTGTTATATAAAATAAAATTCCATTCAAGATTAGCGATCATTAACGTGGGAATAGGACTGAATATGGTAAACAAAGATCAAGTTTTCATGAAAATGGTTTTCTTTACCAATTTAAATAAAGCCTAAACAACAACTGAGGGTGAATAACGACTTACAAGGTAAATAAAAAAATTTATATCCATTTTTAATTACTGTCAAATTGTTAGTAGTATACTGAACAGTGTCTAAATTTTTAGGGGGGACTGACAATATAGTTAAAAATTGTTACCTGGATTTCATGAATTCGCCCAAGTATTCTCAGACGTTTGAACCTTGCTTAGGCTAATGAAAAAAAATTTTTGTTAATGATTTGTGGTGATAAATAAGCGACATAGTTTCCTTAATGATAACGTCTGATCTTCCCTAAATTATTCAGGTTTTAGCTGACTGGTAAATAACAAAATCTTTGTAACACTTGCGTCACCAATCAAAATGCTATGTGCTGGTTACTACAAAGCCACTGGTAAATTTCGCGGTGCAAAAGCTATCAGTCTGTACCTCTAGGGAAGTTTCGTTCATTATGTTCTACTTTTCTGTTTCATTTGTTACTTTTGTGAATTAGACTGATGCACATTTTTTCAATGTTTTGGATTGAATATAACTAAGTGAATACGTAGCGAAAAAGATAAATTATTACCACTATGATCAGATTTTGGAATTCTAAGCTAATTAGCTACTCTGAAGGTACCCTTTGTATCCTCAAACTAGACTTTCATTGGAAGTAAATAATTTAAGATATTATTACACCCCAATTTTGTCCAAACTTTAAGGACTGTAGATTTTCAAGAGCATAGAATGAGATTGCAAAATCAAGCTTGAAATCAATCACTGTACCAGATCTAACACCTTATATTAATTTAATTACTTAAAGGTGCTTTTGGATGCACATGAACCTTTGAAGTTTATCAATTTGATTACTCGGTAGCTTAAATAAATTAACCATTAGCCATCTTTTGAATGCTATTTAGGATAATTTTAGTCTAACTACTTACAAGTAGATTCAAGTTTCATTCATAAATATTTTTAATGTTTGTACCTACTTATTATATTGAGTTCCTAATAATGACACCAATATGAATTGAAGTAAGACTAAAATAAAAACTGAGATTTCATACAGGAATTCGGACTGAATGGGTAACAGGTGAGAACGTTTTTCAGTTTAGCTTTCATAAATCATGTTACAATGAAAAAAATCAAGTCAACTTCTGTACTGTACACTGTGTAACATTCACAATGTTGACACATGTATTTTATCCTATAAAGTATATCCTATACTATTACCATCATAATTTTTTAATTTTGTGTACAGTTTTTGTTAAAGGTCAATTTGCATTACGATCTTTCTAGAGTTATCTTGCACAGTTTGACAATAAATCCAAATTCCCCAAGCCCAGACTGCATCCTTTCTAAAAGTATCGGCTTAAACCGAATCTAATCGTTAAAATCAAGAAACTATATAAATGATATATATATTCATTGGTTTATAAGTTGCACACATAGGTAAATTGGTTGCTATGTCACTTAGAACTAGTAAGAATCAAAAACTTATCTTGTTTAATGTTAAATTTGTTTCAACAAAGAAAGAACAACAAATAAACATTTATTTTGTGGATTATCTCCAATTACTTGCAAACTAATCTGTTTCCATCATATTTAACAAGTGAAACCAACATAACTAACAACTTCAATGTAATTAGTCAGCGAGTTCTATCAAAATTTGATATTCACCGCTCCATTATACATAACGTTTTAGGTGGATACTGTACCCGGTTACAGTAATTTGGATGGAACAGTTGTCCAATGCTTATTAGTTCTCATAATGATGTTGATTTAAGAAAAAAAATAATCTTGAACTGTAAATAATCACCTCTAGACAACCATTTCAAAACGAATATCCGGACAATTCTTTATTGTAGCAACTTAGTACAATATATGATAATCTAATAATAAATTACAATTACAACTGTATAAATCTCTGTTATCACTTACATTTATAGATCCATTAGAAATATTTGATCCTATACTTTGTTGTGAATGAGAACGTTTTGTTGTATCCAATTGAAAATAATGACTAGCAGGATGATAAGAACCTTTATTTGTTCCATTTCTTATTGTTGTCGATTTTGATAAAATTGTATAACGTCCAGTAGAATTATTTGATTTATTTGTATATCCATTTGTTTGATGAATTCCACTGTAATTGATATGATTTAAATCACGATCATTCATAAAATCATTCACATGATTTGACTTAATCATGTTAGGCATAGTTTGGTAGTAGCTAGGGTTAAAAGCACCCAAAAAGAAATAGAGGGAATATCATGAATGATGTATTCTATTTGAATGTAATTATAAATTAATGGTAAATAATCAAAAAAATTATGTTCATTAAACTATACCAGTCAAAATTATGATTCAGTTTTAATTTATATTTATCAAACTATATTCCATTATTAACTCCGCCTGTAGCTCTTGTAGAGTTCCCAAGCCCGGGTAAAGGAGGAGGGTTGGACATGGGGTTAGCGACCACATCCCGTGGAAAACTAACTCGCTAAAAAACGATAACCAGAAAAATAATATATTCCATTATTGAATTAATCTAAATAGGTAAGTAAATTTTCTTTATATATCCTAAATACCTTAAGTTATGTAGCTTTATTTAGTAATGGGGTAACCAGTGAGTAAGTTAAAATTATATTGAAGTGATGTTCCCATTCATGAGATTCTGATTTATTTATAAATTAGTTCACAGAACGGTTAACTATTATAACAACCGGGTCAATTGTGAAGTAGTAACTCACTGATGACAATAGTGGATGTGTCCTCAATTTCATGGATTATTTGAAGTTACACATTTATGGCGCGGCGTGCCGGCTCAATGGTCTAGTTGGTTAAGCGCCTGGCGTGAGACCGATAGGTCCTGGGTTCGCATCCCGCGGGGCGGGATCGTGGGTGCGCACTGCTGAGGAGTCTCACAATAGGACTAAACGGGCGTCCAGTGCTTCCAGGTTTCCCATGGTGGTCTAGCTTCAATTGACTCATGATCACAACTGTTGAAATTACTACATTCTCCACAAAACCCCTTCTGATACCATTTACCTTATTAATTTATCCATGTTCATCAGCATAAATCAAAACTTTGAATATTGGTAACTCAAAAACGATGATCCAGAGGAATGGACAATAAATTGTGGATATGAAATGCTAAGGAGTTCCATATTAGGATTAAACGACTGTCTAGTGCTTCCAGATTTTCAATAGTGGTCTAACATCAATTGATTTATAATCTCAATCAAAAACTTAACAATCTCCACAACCCCACACTGATAATAAATAATTGTTTTCTCTTGGCTTAATAAATCTTAGTATTGGGGATTCACATCTATACATTGCATTTAACCCAGGATCTACAAGCTATGCAGTATGAATCCACTGAGAAAGATTTCAACGTCAGTGTTTTAAAGTAACACGAATTCATTATGTAATTTAGTGGTCATCCATTACCACGAACGCTAACTCTATCACGACTTCTGGAATAGTCTTCAAAGAATGATTCACTGATATCCATTTTTAATGAAGTATCATATAGTTCAATACCTGTCATTTGAAATAAACAAACAAATTTGGTGATCGAAACATGAACATCTATGTAGATCATTAAGTATGTCCCTTTTATTTTTCCTCTTAATCCGTCTATTTTACTGGTGAAGAAAAAGCCATAAAAACCTAAATTTTCACTAAAGTAAGATATTGATTTCAATGATCATGTACGATACGTTCAAAATCATACCTTTTCATTAAGTCAAAAAAGTGCACTAATGACAGACAATAATAGAGAAATACCAAATAGTAGAAACAATAACTAAGGATTTTTTTGAGTTCAGCCAATAAACTACTGTCAGGTTTTTCAGTTAAATCCTTGAATTCGAAATGAAAGATCCCATTTTCAGAGTCTCGATATACGTAAAGGTCTACACTAACCTATCTTTATAGCTCATGAGTCCAACAATTTTATGGGAATCATTGATGTTTTCAGGTCTAATATAATAAATACGACTTAAATGTATATACTAGCTGAAGTAAAATAATGTGACAAGTTTAGAGTTTAGAAAGAAGAAATAAAAGTAACAAACACAAACCTTTACCCTCTTGGACATTAGAGTATGAAAAAGGAATGATAGGAATCTTTTACTGTTAACGGGGCCTCGATTTGTGGTAGGAGCAGAAAAAAATGATCGCAGAGAAACAAAGAAAAATTAAAAGATTAAAAGCCATTGTTTTCACATATGAATGCTGTCAACTTTTGTAATATGATAGTTGACGGAACATTGAAAAAATTCGCTTCCAGGGTGCGAGATCGTGGATCACTGTGTTGAGAAGTCCTATCCTATGATATATATATCATGGGATAGGATGGGATGCTTACTTACTTACTGACGCCTGTTACTCCTCGTGAAGGAGCATAGGCCGATCACCAGCATTCTCCATCCAACCCTGTCCTGGGCAATCCTTTCTAGCTCCGTCCAGTTGTAATTCATCCTTTTCATATCTGCTTCTATTATCCGACGCAATGTGTTCTTTTGCCTTCCTCTTTTTCGCTAACCTTCAGGATTCCAAGTTAGGGCTTGCCTCGTGATGCAGTTTGACGATTTGCGTAATGTATGTCCTATCCATTTCCATCGTCTTTTCCTAATTTCTTCTTCAGCTGGAAGCTGGTTTGTTCTCTCCCACAGAAGGCTGTTGCTGATGGTATCCGGCCAATGGATGTTGAGTATCTTTCGTGGACAGCTATTTATAAATACTTGTACTTTCTTGATTGTGGTTGTTGTAGTTCTCCAAGTTTCAGCTCCATACAGTAGAACTGCCTTGACGTTCGTATTGAAGATTCTCACTTTGATATTGGTTGGAAGTTGTTTTGAGTTCCATATGTTCTTCAATTGTAGGAATGCGACCCTTGCTTTGCCGATCCTCGCCTTTACGTCTGCATCTGAACCTCCTTGTTCATCGATGATGCTTCCCAGGTATGTGAAGGACTCTACGTCTTCCAGAGTTTCGCCATCAAGAGTGATTGGATTGCTGTTTTCCGCTTTGAATTTGGAAAACGGCAATCCAATCACTCTTGATGGCTAGAATTATAATTTATTAAAAAAGAACAGTTTTCACCATTATTTTTACTTAAGTATTAAATTTTACTTCATAAGGTGAATTCAAACAAAGCATAACAAATGACGATTACTTAACATTTACATTCATTGTACAATGAATCATAGTTACTATTACACACCTGATTTTGCCTTGACCTTATCATTCCACATACATTAGGTACTGTTCACTGTGTTTAAAAATATCCCGTCAATACGGTTTTATTGCCTGTTTATTTATTTATGAGGTATAAAATGTTTACTTTTGTCTGATGAATCATTACCAACTGTAAACATAGTGGTCATGTAAATGCCAATAGGAGAATAATTTTGACTTGGATAAAAGAAAGTAGAAGCATCATCACTAACAACAGTTTTATGAGTGATTATTTCAAGTAAAAAAGGAAACAACAAAATACCAGTAGAAGAATTATTTTCTGAATACAAAGCTTAGTAGTAGTAGTAGTAGTAGTAGTAGTAGTAGTAGTAGTAGTAGTAGTAATAGTCGGTGTACATCTTATCACTTCATTCAGTGAATAACTTGTCTTATGTGTAAAAATAAAAAATGAATTGAAAAATTCACCCTAGTGCACAAGTCAACGGCCACCTTGAGTTTGTAGCTTAGTGGACAAGGCGATGGCATTTTAAGCAGTCATTACCAGGTTCGAATCATGTAGTGAACATCAATTCTGGGATACCAGGATATTCACCGAATGAATCTGAAATAGGAGAAAACTCATAACCTAGATTACGTTGTTAGCTGCCATCTAACTCTGTTTATAAAGCTTGGGGCCAGATTAATGTGTAAAGTTGTTTATTTTTAAGGAAAACTGCTTCGGAGCGATGTGTTCAGAGTTGATTAGATGATCCTGTGTTGAACTGGTAACTTTTTAGCAGTCTCCTTTTAAAAGTCGCGCCGTGTAATGTTCCGAGATGCTTTGTGTGGCCAATTTAACCTGCTCCACACGATGCACATTGAGGTGGCCCAAAGTGAAATTTTATCGTTAACACATCCATGAATGGTAGGCCGTCTTGAGAAAACAATGCAGAGCTTAGCTGAGTAAAAGGATTTATTCAGGGATTTGGAAATTCGCGTATTCAAGATTTTAGCAGCCGTGTTTTTCTTTTGAACTGTTGGTGCCTTTTAAGCATTTTGTCTAGATGTTAAGTTCCTATCGATGAATCTAAGTGGATAACCTTCGCGTCTTATATTCCGTCTATAGACTAACGCCTCCAGGTTTGATAGACGATGCCCTCCAACAGACACACATAGCCTTGAGCTGGTATAAGCTTCACTTCTATTGGTCGGCTGACAAACATATTTTCTACAACTCCCCAGTCCTGACCCGAAAGTGAAGACTGCAGACAAGCTCCCATTACTACACTGAAACCATTAAGCCCGTCAGCTATTGAGAACATTCATTAGCTTATATACATGACATACTGGACCACATCATACTATAAAATAGAAAATCATACTTCTACAAAAATAGGCTAAAAAGTGTCAGGGAGACCGAAAATTAGCTAAAGAATTACACTTTTGTCAGTATGGGGTTGTGGAGATGGTTTAGTTTTTGATTGAGGTCGTGAATCGATTGATGAAAGACCAATCTTGAAAACCTGGACGGCTGCTTCTTCTCAGTATGGGACTCCTCAGCAGTGAGCATCTACAATTTCTCACACAGGATTTGAACTCAGGACCTTCGTGGGTGCGTATCGCTGAGGAGTCCCGCAATAGGACGAAACGGCTGTCCAGGTTTTCAATGGTGGTCTAACATTAATCGGTTCATGATTCCAATGGAAAAAAACAACTATTTAAAACAAGAATATGACATTTTCCTATTTCCAACCACTGGTATTTCTGCTCGTATATCAGTTAATTGGTTTTACATTATTTAACCTAAAAATGATTCATATACAAAAACACAATTTGTATTGTACTAGCATATCAACATCAGATATAATGTCATTCTTTACTAATTGTTGCTTGTGGCTAACAGATTTGAATAAATTAGAAGAAAAATATATAATTGGTAGGTGTTTTATTCTTCTCCCAGGGATTATCATGTGTAAATATGTTTGCTTTTTTAGAACATTGCACAGATGAATCTGAGAGAATCAAATGACAAACAAACAAATA